GCCAGTGAGCGGGAACCGGTCTGTATGTGGGATCCAAACCCTCGGGCGGGAGCGCCGCAGCACTTCCCAAGCGGCGCACTATCTAGTGCGCCACCGGGCCAGCCCGTGGTTCGCGTTTTTAGAAGTCCTGTCATTTTATGATCCTAATTGCTAAGTAGTTGACAGTAGTATTTCAGGCCTCTTATTTGTCATAATGACCCAGTGAATAAATCTAGTGCGCCACCGGGCCAGCCCGTGGTTCACGTTTTTAGAAGTCCTGTCATTTTATGATCCTAGTTGCTAAGTAGTTGACAGTAGTATTTCAGGCCTCTTATTTGTCATAATGACCCAGTGAATAAAGTATGTATCAGAGAAAAAGGTTGGTAGTTTTTATAAAATAAATATGTGAAATAATGGTTTTATTTAATAGTTCAGAATTCAGCCAAATAATACAATATGAATTTTACATATTTATTTTGAAAGCAAAGTATTTTTTTTTAAGAAATGGGAAAATATATAATAAGTAATAGAAAAGAAAAGAGCTGTTTTTAGTAACAATTAATTGAAATGAACAGGAGAAAATGGCAATAAGGGGTCCCCTCCTGTTGTATTATGAGATACAATTGAATTTTGTACACATTTGGCAAATCCATACTCATAGACCAGTTTTCATTCCTTAGACCTTTAAGATTTCTAATTATGTGTTTTGCTTTTTACAAACTTAATTTTATGACAAAAAATCCGAAGTCAGAATTGTACAACTTAGTTCATATGTAGCATGTGTTCTTTTGTTATTAAAGGGTTACATGATTACCTCAGAATCACCTGAGATGTATGTTATAAATGTAGATTCCTCTTTGGCAAGACCTTGGGATAGGTCTCAGATATTTACTGTGTATTTACAAATTCCACAGGTGTTTGTAATGCATATTAAAGTTAGACAACCTTAGGTAGATATATCTAAAATTGTTGTGGTTCTCATTTAAGCCAATAAATAATTAAAACAGTTGGAAAGGATTTATAGAAAATAATATCTCCATTAACCTTTCTTACCAGAACCAAACATTAGTTTGAAGGTAAGAACTTTTTGACAGTCATTGTTTAGATTTATTTGAGTAGGTACAAAGATAAACCACAGGTCTCTTCTCTACCTCCAGACATTGCAATTGAAAGAAGAAGAAAATAAACGGTTAAATCAAAGACTGGTAAGTTTTTCTTTTTTAACAAATTGATTTTAACATTTCTTAATTGTTAACATTATATTTCATTATGGAGATATACCATTGGAAGGATGTATGCTTTGGTTAATTTATTTTTAGTAGTTTTTGTTGAGCCGTGTTGGTAATTTATTGCTGTTGATTCTCACAGAATGATGAAGTTAGGTCATTGTTACCACCTGTGACTGTAGATTCAGACTTTTCGTAGCATGAAAATAAATGTCTCGGTTATACTTAACACTATAGATCTGACCAAGTAAACTTCACTACTAAGATGCTTTTAAAAGCAGTCAACAAAATCAATACAATATTTTCTGATTATTAATAAAAATATTATTTCTTAGGATTCCATGATTGTATGTGTTTGTAATCTAAGTTATGATTCTTAACTCAGTCAATAAATTAAAAATTAGAGTTATGCTTCATAATAAGCCTTTTGAAGATTAACATGTTTACTCTCACAAGTGTGCATAATTTTAATACATTTTATCCTTTCATGAATCTTTAAGTGAAGATATCTGAAAAGCAAGAAGACCCTATGTGGTTTTCTGAATTAACTTGGTTTTATTCTAACCTGTAAATTTAACAAATTACTCAAACAGCCGATTTTATAGCCAAACATACATGTTTTAAAAAAGCAATTGCTTCATTTTTTCAAATTCTGGTAATTATAATTTACTTAGAATAGTAACTTGTATACCATATAGATGTCTGACACATGTTTATGAATGAATGAATTTTACCTTTCAAATTCAAAGAGCACCAAACTCACATTCATATCAGTGTTCAAATGTAAATTATTACACGTTTACATAGATTTATAACTATAATCACATAATTTTTCTTCAAATCTAACCCTCATTTGTAATAAATATATGAAAAACTTAAGCTTTTATTTGGTCGTAAAAATGGATGGTCAATCTTATCTTCACTGGCAGGATATAGATCATTTATCTGGATAATTTTAATAAATTGCTATACACTTTTAAGTCTTTCTAGTCATTATTTGTTGTTTTATTTCTCTCTCTTTTTAAAATGTATTCCTCTCTCTTTTTTAAACACTTAATGAGACCCTGCATTGTACCAGGGTAGTGTTCAGAGGGAAATGGAGGAAATTCAGAGCATCAAAATTAGACTTAATAAACAAAAAGAAATCCATATGTGTATCATTGGCTTGTGCAACTGTGCACTGAGCCCACTTTGCTTGGGAAGGATGGGTATTATTACCACCCTTTCAGGGCTCAAGTCCTTGGAACCTGTGCCTCAGGTATCATGAGATGGTGTGATGAATGGATTGAAGATGATTTGAAAAGCGAAGCAGTACCAGCTAAGTTATAGCAACAGCAAATCAGTTAGCAAATACCATTCCGTTGTGCTCATCATCAAAAGAGGAAATGGATGGCTGTCACATCTTTCATTGTTTAGTGATTTCTCAGAATAGTTTTTTAAACCTAGGCATTTCGGGAGCTGCCTTGAAGATGAGAGAGGAAAGATGTTCCCAACTTTAAGCTCCCACCCCATTTCAATCAGAGTAACATTGTTTGTTTGTTTTTCTTACTTAGGTATTGGACTTTTGAGTAAGATTTTGTAAGGGTCTTTTTTGGTTTGTTTTGTTGTCGTTTGTCCAACAGGAAAGATTTTAAAACTGATGTGGTATAATTTTCAAACTCTTTTAGAAGAATTTCAGTCTCTTTCTCGTTGATATTTTATTTTTAAGATTAAATGTAATACAAATAAAATGTGATTCTAAAATGTGATTCAACCAAATTTGATAAAATAAGTAACATAAGTTAAAATGTAGGTAAGTTTGTCTAATGAATCTAATTGTTGAAGTAAAGGATTTTATTAATAAACATAAGTATTATATTAGTTTGGAGTCTTTAAAGCGGGGACACATACTTTGTGTGTAGCATATTGAAATTTATGAATGTGTGTAGCATACTGAAAGAAATTTTTGCAGTAATTTCCCAGTAATACATGTGGTGCTTTAATTGTATAAGATTCATGAACTGTTCGTTTTTTTTAAGATGTCTCAGAGCATGTCTTCAGTATCTTCAAGGCATTCTGAAAAGATAGCAATTAGAGAGTAAGTATCTTATTTTTATTTCGTGGGTTTTTTTTTTTTTTCCTGTGAAAAAAACTTTACTGAATTAAATTGTTAATGAATGAAAATGTATTTTATTTCCATTTCAATAATGCTTTAGGTCCAGGCTCTTTGAGCAGAGTGTTTTTATACATAGTGATAGTAAAAGTGTTTTGTTGGAAAGCAAAGTTTTTCAAATTGTTACCTTGGAAACATTAAGATTGCATTACAGGGGCCGGCCCGGTGGCTCACTGGAGAGTGCGCCGCTTGGGAGTGCGGTGGCGCTCCCGCCGAGGGTTCGGATTCCATGTGGAGACTGGTTCCCGCTCACTGGCTGAGCGCGGTGTGGGCGCAACACCAAGGGTTGCGATCCCATTACCGGTCAGTAAAAAAGACAAAAAGGAAAAAAAA